GCAAAGAAAATGAAAGAGAAGTTTGACAAGTATTGGAAAATGGGGATAAAATCAATCTACTTTTGTATGTTGCGGTTGTGCTTGATCCTAGAAGAAAAATGACATACTTGCAATTTTATTTTTCAACAATTTTTGGTAGAGATATAGTGAAAGTGAAAGAAATATTAAACAAGGTCAAAAAATTGTTTGGGCAAATTTTATGATCATTATGCCACACTTGAGCCAACAAATGTGCATGCCTCCAATGTAAATGAAAGAGTAGATATGGTGATAGATGAAAATGACCCACACTGTATTGTGAACTCTCAATTTAACTCATTTTTGGAAGGGCAATTTTGTAGTAGTGGGAGTATGTCGGAATTGGACAAGTACTTGGGTGATATTGAGAAAGGTGGGAATAATTCTCAATTTGATATCTTGGAGTGGTGGAAGGTTAATGCAACAAAGTATAGAGTATTATCACTTATAGCACGAGATCTGTTGGCGATGCCTATTTCCACTGTTGCTTTTGAGTCGGCTTTTAGTATAGGAGGTCGTATACTTGATCCATTTCGTAGTTCACTTGCTCCCAAGATGGTGGAGGTTCTTGTTTGTGCACAAAATTGGCTTCGAAGTAACATTCCAATATGCCTTAGACAAGCAATGAATGATATTGAAGAATTTGAACAACAATATGATTCGGGTAATACATTCAATGATTTATTTTGTTTTAAATTTCATTTATTTTGTATTATTCAAAATTCATTATTTTCACTTTACATGTTTTTCTTGTGTTATGTTTTATGTGTAGTTGTTTCAGAATCAAGTTCTTGTTCAAGCCCAAGTCCGGAACCTAATTTTATTGAAGTTTAATATCATGGTAAAATACCCCTCCCCTTTGCTAAATGTTACATATGTTTATTTGTTTTAAGTTTAAGACTTTTTAGTATTTTCCTTATTAAATAATTTCATTTTTTTTGTTATGCAGGTTTAGATGGTTCATTTCATGGTTTGGCTCAAGGAAATTAACGACTTTTTGCTTCTTTTTGGATGACTGTATTATTGTTTGGATGACTGTATTATTATTATTTTTTTTTAAATTTTGGATGATTTTCAACTTCAACTTTGAATGACTGTAATGAATTATGTTTTTGCATTGCCCACTAGAACATTGAACTTTGGATGCCCAGGAGAAGACAATGGAAATTGATAACATGTCATGTCTTATGAGGTTTGTTAAGTTGATGCTTTTTTGGAATTGTTGAAGTTTTCTTTGTGCTTATGGTTTTATTTATGTGAGCAAGGGATTTTTGTTTTACTCATGTTCTGTTATTGACATCTCTTGTGAATAGATAAATAATTTTTTTTTTCCCTTCTTTTTCTGGTGCATTTGAGAATAATTTTCTTAGATAATATATGCACTTTGGCCAGAGATTGGTTTTTGGCACTTGGTTTGGGCAATCTTGAATTTCCAATAGAATCACTTTTATTTGGAGAAGAAAAAGAAGCAACATTAGCTATTGTAGGTGGGAGAGAATTGGAGAGCACTTGTGTTAACTGTTATATGTTACACTGGCAAGATGACATATAAAATAAAATAAATGTGGAGTTCAATAATATTACCCTCTGCTTATTATTTAGTGAATGGTATTGGATATCTTCTTCTTTTTCAAGATTCAATTGACAGTTTTAGACCTATCAAATTTATGTATGTTTGTGCAATGTTTTCTGGTCTTACATCACATGTGAAGAAGATGAATGGAAGATTTGATGCATATTGTTTTTGGCTCAAAGAAAACAGTCCTTTGGAAATTGATTTGTGTGTGGATTGCTAAAAGGTTTTGAGGTTATTTGTTTTAAGGAAAATGATGTTCAAATTTAAACCAAATCAATTTGAATAGTGAAAAAGATAACGTGTCACTTTAACATTACAGAGTGTTATAGGCCCACACAATTCACTTTTTTTTATGAGAGTTTTAGTAATAGTCTATAAATAATTAATTAAGGCCCATAGAAATTTTGTCAAAAAATAAAATTTTGTTAAAGCAGTCTACCCATTCATTTAAAAATTTTGTTAAAAGAACACTTCCACTCAAACTCAAAGCATAGCGTATTTATCTAATCTATCTACCACTGAATATGATATTGCATATTCAATATACACACAAAAAAGTGGGGTATATCAGTGATGTTTGTTAATTGAATTTTTTCCTTGGTTTTTTTTTTTAATTTTAGTGATATTAATTGAATTTTTTCTTGGGTTTTTTTTTTTTGTATGTTGAAAATTTATATAATTTCAAACCGCTAAACCGATTCGCATCCATCCGCCAATCTGCCAATCCGCCAAATCCGCATCCGCCGGATTGGCGGACAGATGCGGATTGATTTTCACCAATCCACCAATTTGGCGGACGGATGGCGGATTGGAGGTTTCGTGGCCGCAACCAATCCGCGCCCACCCCTAGTGGTGGATTACAAGCTGTTGTTGGATTCTGTACGTCCATATTAATAATTTAAATTGTTTGGAAAAGTGTTTGAAATCTTTTTTTTTTTTTAAAGAAACTCCACAATTTCCTTTGAATTTTAATTATTAATATATGTTTGAGATCCATTTATATATGTGTAAGGCCTATACTATTAATGATTGAGATCGAAAGAGACTGTGGGATCTCCAAAAAAAAAAGATCTCAATTATTGTTGAATTAATGTGTGACATTTATTTATTATTTTGTTTTTATAAAAAATTATTTTGATTAGGTATCAGTACAACAAAATTGACTTTTTACGACACCACATCAACGGCATACAATAAACGCATACCGTAGTTTCTTACTCTTATGACTTGCTTTTTTTGCACGTCGTAAATACTTTTCCAACCACGGCGCGTTTATTGCGTAGGCCGTGAATGGTAACAACGATGATTTTTTTACGGTTTGCAATGCACGTCGTAAATAATAATAAAACTTTCTACAATATGCATATGGCATGCCGTTAATATATCAATTATACACGACGTACATACGCTAGCCGTGAAAAGTGAATACTTTTCACGGCGCACACAACACCTGTTGTTAAAAGTATTGCACTTTTTACGACGCATACATCGCATGACGTTAAAAATTGTTAAAAGTATTGCACTTTTTACGACGCATACATCGCATGACGTTAAAAATATTGCCTTTTTACGACACACAATGCATGTCATGAATTGTATGATTAAAAAAAAAAAGTGCCAAAATGATATTTGGGGCACCAATCACTAAAATATATATATATATATATATCAGAGAGAATCAATGTGATATTTACCGTCTAATTTTATTTTATGTTTACTTTTATTATTTCTCTGTATGTATCGAATGATACATACACCAAAAGGAAATATCAATCAACACTATTTTCCCCTCTTTTCCACTCTCTCATTGTCTTGAACCCTAACCCGTCAAACAGAGAGCGGCGAAGGTTGAGCGAAATCAGAGGGCAATGGCGAACAGAGGTTGACAACGAACTGACGGGGGCTGCGACGACGAGAGGAGGCGGCTGTGAAATCTGGGTGCCTGCGACGAGGTTTGATAAATTAGCCTCTAACCTTCTCTTTCCCCCTCTCTCCCTCCCTCATATATCCTTTGGATCCCACGTTTCTGAACATGCGCTCCTCTTCGCGAACACCTTCTGCTTCATTCTCTGGATTTCTAAGGTACTTTCACATCTAGGTTTCTCTTAATTTTGTTTGGTTTACTTTCAATCTCTTATATTGAAGGTGATGATCAATGGTCCTAAAGCAATCCGCTTATTGGTTATGCAAGATGGTAGTTAGCTGGCAAAGGTCTTGATGGTTATCTCTCTCTCTATTTTGGACATACAAAGTATCCTTTTTGCAAAAATGGGTTTGACTAATTGTTCTAAAATTTCATTCCATGGATGAACCTAGAAGACCTAGTGTTGAAGATATAAACAATTAAGTCACTCTTATATTAGAATAAAATTGAAATGGATAATTTTTGTTTGTAACGTTGAAATTTTCACCGCCTCTTTTTTTTTAAAAGGGGATGGGCAATCTGTTCAAATTAAAGTGTTTGTATACTTGTATTGTATCTATGCCAAATTTGGAATTTTTAGAATGTGCAAGGACAACTGGATTAGCAACTCTTTGATTGTGTAATCAAAATATGAAAATTGAAATTGATCTGTTTGTGGCATGCTGTGAATTTCTGCGAAACTAATTGGTGAAAGGTTTGTTTAGATTACAAATAGTTTGCTAAATTTGTTTTTTAAATTGTAATTTCAAGAAGTAGATCGTAGTTTAGCAAATCCTGGTCTCACTCTTCCAAAAGTAGTAGGGTTTTGTCCTTAGCTTACTTTCTCGATCTTTAGATTCTTTCTCAGGACTTTGTCTAATTAGGCCATTTATCGATCTAGAATTGCATAAAAAACTCGTGATTAGCATTTTAATGTGCCATGGTTCAGTTTAGGCTGTTTGTTAATTAACTCTCAGTGAATATTTAATGTCTCCTTTTCGAGAAGAACCTAAATTTTGTTGCATTAAATCCAGCCTATAGAGGACTCAATGAAGAATGTAAAATCGCACTTTAGCAGCACATAATATGTCTCATTTTGAACCATGGATGTGAATCACATGATAATTATTCCTATAGATAAATGAGAGGTGAAGAAAAGTAATTATTATGGATAATATATAAAGTTATTAGGTTTCACCAATTTCATTGATTTCTCGTGTTTACAAGTACATCAAACAATATCACGATTTAAAAGCGTTCCGTCTACACAAGTATTATAGGCTTTTTCAATTGCGAGCTTAGTACAAACCCAATTTTGGGAGGATTTTCAATTTGCAAAAGTGACTCCCAAGTTGGTGTTGAGAGTGATGGGCGTAAAAGGCTTGACGTTGTACCATTTAAAGGCCCCGTTTGGTAGAGTTGTGGAAAAGCGATTATAGCTTATAGTTTAACAACTTATAGCGTATAACTGTGAACATAAGTTGATTTTTGACTTATAAATTAAGCTTCTCCTCTCCCACTCAAAGGATCATGAATAACTACTCGGTACTCAGGAATAGCAGCTGCATATGGGGTAGACACTGTGTTTGCATCATCCTCATCTCGAAGTAATTGATCTAATTCAGGCCACAGTGTTTCCCGCCTAAAACAGAAGAATCATATCATTACCATTAACATGATAGAAAAACTGAACTGATACTTCACGCTGCCATCTTCCCTGACTTATGAATAAAGATCAGCTCTTTACCACAACATTAGAATTAATCCAAAAACATATAATAATAATAATAATAATAATAATAACTACATACCAAGCAGCAAAATCATCTTCAATGCACTGATCATCATCCCCAAGACCAACTGGAATAAGACGTTTTGCACCTGACACATAAAGAAGATGTGCAATGGGAGATTATTCAGCCAAATGTAAGTGTTTCCTCTTCAGTAATAGTTCTTGTCATCCTATCAATAAGAACCAAATCCTAAGTGTGCCATCTAACAGAATGCTAGCATAACAAACTTTTAGGTTTTCATCAGTCTCACCAACTATTCCGATCACTCTCAAAATAAACCTTGTTTCTGAGGATTAATTTGTCCAAATTTGTTAATAATCTAGAACAATAGCTGTATAGTTGAAGCTGGAGATAAAATGACTAATCAAAATAAGGGAGATGTAACCTCAGATAAGCATATTACCATCTAAGAGTGGGGAAGGGAATATAAAAAAAAAAGTTCAGAGAATTGCAACAAGCCAGTGGACACCCTCAATGTCAAGATAATTGAATAACTCTACCCTTCACTACAACAAAACGCACCTTAAATATATTTTTTTGGACGACTAAATTTTTAGTCGCTAATTGGTGACTTTCGGCGACTAAAAAAAAATTTAGTCGCCAATTCTTTTGCCGACAGTCAATCAACGACCAAACGGGCGACAAAGAATTTTAGTCGGGAAAAATATTTGGCGACCAAAAAAATGACTTTTGGTGACTAAAAATTTAGTCGCCAAAAGTGTAATTTGTTGTAGTGCTTCTATATCAGTAACAATATTATGGTGTGCTAAGAATCTTCCAAAATATGCTTAGTGATAGAGAATAACTTTATACCTTGTTTGCTAAGCTGTTCATCTACCACCTTTCCAATCTGTTTGAAAAAGTTGCAGTCAGATAAAAAAATTGGACAAAAAAGACAAGAAAGAAAGAATCACAGAACGAGAAGTAATGGTTTGATATGAATATATAACGAATTTACCTTATTGAAATGTTCATATTGACGATTACCCAGACTAAAGACACCATATGTAAGCTGTTGAAGCCAGGCTCCCCTTTCATTTTCCTGAAAACATTTCCAATACCTCTTCACACAAATTTCTAAAAACAATGCACTACTAAAGTTAGTTCGACAATGACAAAACTATCCACCTCAGTAAACCATTTGTAGAATCTTGCAGCATCATCAGTTGGCTCTCCATCTCCATAACTACAATGACCAGCTCAAATGTAGATTAAATAAGCGCCTCACCTCCGAAAAGTTCAATTTGTTAAAAAAATGTCATGCATTTCCAGATAAGCAAATTTACAAGTCTATCTTACGTTGCCAACATGAAAAATACCAGAGTCTCTTTCTTCAGTTTTTGTTCATATTGATCATCATCAGCAGCATAATCATCCTAACTCAAGGGGAAAAAAAAGAGATATCAAATAATCTAGTATTAGTAAATCCTCTTGAAAGATCAAATGAGAAGTTTTCCATTCACCATACCAGGTCAACAACTTTCACAATAGCCTTTTCGTATCTAGCCTTGATCTCTTTTGCTAAAGACTGTCAAAAGAGAATCATCACAAGGGAGCATAATAGTCAAAACATTAAAATTAATTTGCCCAACGTAAACTGCTTATTAACCCAAAAAGTAAATTTTGCCACGAAAAATCAAATTGTTCATTTTTTTGACAAATGAAAATTACCATGAAACTGCAAAATTAAGGGTTGTAGCTGTTTTGGACGAGTGGGGATGCACAATATTTGCTTAGACTCACCTCTTTTTGAATAAAGTATTGGATTAGTCAAACCTTGTCATGTCATCATAACAATATATGAAAAGCGCAAGTGAACGTATTTGGTTAGATACACCTTTTCCAACATTCACCATAAATGAAAAGTGCAAATGAACACTTTTTTGACTCACAAAGCTTTACCAATCTTTCCATTTTGTGATTTTAACCTAAATTTCAGGTTATAGCTCGGAAAGATGCATAAAGAAACAACAAAAGAAAATCTTAGCTTGTTTTGACTTATTTATTTAAACCACATTTTATCGTCATTGTTAATACGGTTGACTGAAATTTCGTAACTCATTTTGTCGTCATTGTTAATAGATGACACATAAAGAAACAAAAAAAAATAAAAAATAAAAAATCTTGGCTCATTCCGACTTACTTCAACCACATTTTGTCATCATCGCTAATATGGTTGACAGGAATTTCATAACTCAGTTTGTCATCATCATTAATAGTCATATGATGCAGGAAAAATGAAAACTTTCCATCATTGTTAATACTGTTGACTGAAATTCCGTAACTACTTTTGTCGTCATCCTTAATAGAAGACACATAAAGAAACCAAAAAAAAAGAGAAAAAGAAAATCTTCGCTCGTTCCAACTTATTTACTTCAACCATATTTTGCCACAATTGTTAACACGATTGACTGAAAATTCATAACTCATTTAGTCGTCATCATTAATAGTTGAACGACGCAGGACAAATGAAAACTATTCATTCTTTTTGTGTGCAAATGTCAAAAAATAAAAAATAAAAAAAATCAAACACAAAGTCAAATCCAAAACTATCAGAAACAAACAACAATGCACAAAGGAAATACAGAAAACTTCACCTTGGCGAAACCCTCGGCAGTGCCAGTCTGAGTACCATAGAACATAGTCACCTTCGTCTTCCCCGAACCGGCCTCAACCTCATCTTCCTCTTCCTCTTCCTCAACCAGCAATGGCTTCGAAATCACAACAGGCTTCGATTCTTTACTCCGATCAGACGATCTCTTCAACAGAAAGAACAACAATCCGATGATCACAGCAACAGAAGTCGTCACAACCACAATCGCAGTATCAGACACCAATTCCGAACCAAACGAAACTCCCAACGCCGATTCGATCGCTCTGATCAAATTTGAGTTCGAAGCCATGGTTTTCAGCGAATTCGAAGTCCAAAAATACCCCGAAATCTGCTGATTTGATCCCTTTCTACTCTTACTCCAGATTTCACAGATAGTCAAGTGCGAATCGATCGAGAACGCTGGTCAACTGCTTTGAATTTGATGATATCCTTCTGGGACTCTCTAGGGGTTGTGTCGGTGAGAGAGAGTATCGCTCTTTCACTCTCCCTCTAGCGCTTCTCGAAGCCACCTAGAGCGACAGCTAGGAGAGAGAGAAGCGGTGCAGACAAAAGACAGTTGACGATTGGATACTTGGTTGTGTGTCCCTGCTGCTGCTTGCCAACCTCGAGGCTTTCTTTTTGGGTCTAAAAGGGGGGAAAAATTATTAGTCGGTTTAAAAGTACTACGTAATTATGTGACTGACCAATCACATATCATTATTTTTTTATATATATACATTTTCTAATTACTCAATGAACTATTTATTATAATTTTTTAAGGTGGTTATAGTTTATTTTAATTTGAGAGTCTGTGGTAGATTGTTTGGTATGATTTTTATCTATAATTTATTAGTAAAAATAACTTAATTAAGTTAAAAAAAATTAATTATTGAAAAATTGAGATTAGAATACTTTTAATTTTTACTTTTTGATTATTAATTTTTAATTAAAAAAAATCTCTACTAAACAAGGTCGAAATAAAATGAGTTATATTCTTTTCACCAATCACAACACACATTAGGAGTTGTTTGGGATGACTTAAATAAACGTACTTTTTGTCTTTTTACGAAAAGATGTACAGAAAAGTAGAGAGGTGATGTGATGGATAAAAGTTAAAAAGATAAAAAGATGGATTATTTTTGGGTTGCCAAACTTGGCCTAAGAATTAGGGGTTGTTTGGGGTGTCCTAAATAAGTACACTTTTTGACTTTTTGGACTAAAAAGTTAAGAAAAAAAGATGATTATTTGGGATAACTTTTTGACTTTTTACGAAAAAATGTGTATTAAAAAACTGTATAAATTACTCACCCAAAATTTTTTTTATTCACCTAAAAAAAAATTTGTATAAATTAGTGTATAATAGAAGATGAGATTGAATAGGTTGTAGGATAGGCTGAATTTCGGGACAAAGTTGGCAATGTAAAGGCTGGAAAATGATTCCCTACTTTTCAGGTATTGAATTGGAGGTGCTGTTCGGCCTGTGGGGGCCATCACGGGTCTTGTTTTGCTAATCGAAACCGTTCAATGTGTAGAACTCGTTGAGAACTCTATTTTTGTAAAAAATCACGTTAATCGGATATCGATAGCTCTCTGATCGGATTAGTTTGTTTTCAACCGTTAACTATAACACCATCCATTTTATAAATTTTAACTGATTTGATCATATAGTTACCGATATCTAATCAATATGATTTTTTAAAAGCATATAGTACTTGATGAGTTCTACACATTAAACGGTTCAGATTATTAAAAAGGGACCCGTAATGGGCCCCCACGGGCCGAACAGTACAGTGTTATTTGTACACTTAAATAAGTGTAATTTTTCCCAAATGTTACCTCCACTGCTCTGCCGTCAGAGTTGTTTGAAAAAGAAAATTGTGTAAATATAATTTTTTAATATTTTTTTTAGATAAATAGTGATAACTTTTTTAATTTTTTTTTAGTACCCAAATCAGGCCTTACGTTGACGCTACTCTTGGACCAACTATGGCATTGTTTGAGAAGTGAATTTGGGTGAGTTTGCAGTTAAAATAGTCACAAAAAAATAAAATAGGCTTGTTAATTTTAATAAGATAAAACATTATATTCAACCTATAATTATTAAATTATTTCTCTAAAAAAAAATAAAAAACTTTTCTTAAATTAAATTTTTTAACTCTAAATTAAAATAATTAAAAAAAATTAAAATTAAAAAATTCAACTCACTCCATAAACCAAGCCTAATAATTACTGGTTAAAAGTCCTGCATTTTGGTTGTGACGTGGCCTTAACAAACACGTGTGTTTTTTTCTTTTTCTTTTTAATTATCTATTTCATTGACATATACTTGTGGTCTAAAAATCAGGTGGAAAAAAAAAGGACACGGGAGTTTGTGGTGGATTACAAGCTGTTGTTGGATTCTGTACGTCCATATTAATAATTTAAATTGTTTGGAAAAGTGTTTGGAATTTTTTTTTTTTTTTAAAAAGAAACTCCACAATTTCTTTTGAATTTTAATTATTAATATATGTGTGAGATCCATTTATATATGTATAAGGCCTATATTATTAATGATTGAGATCGAAAGAGACTGTAAGATCTCCAAAAAAAAAAAAAGGTCTCAATTATTGTTGAATTAATGTGTGACATTTATTTATTATTTTGTTTTTATAAAAAATTATTTTGATTAGGTATCAGTACAACAAAATTGACTTTTTACGACACCACATCAACGGAATACAATAAATGAATACCGTAGTTTCTCACTCTTATGACTTGCTTTTTTTGCACGTCGTAAATACTTTTCCAACCACGGCGCGTTTATTGCGTAGGCCGTGAATGGTAATAACGATAATTTTTTTACAACTTGCAATGCACGTCGTAAATAATAATAAAACTTTCTACGATATGCATATGGCATGCCGTTAATATATCAATTATACACGACGTACATACGAATACTTTTCACGGCGCACACAACACCCGTTGTTAAAAGTATTACACTTTTTACGACGCATACATAGTATGCCGTTAAAAATATTGCCTTTTTACGACACACAATATATGTCATGAATTGTATGATTAAAAAAAAAAACGTCAAAATGATATTTGGGGCGCCAATCACTAAAATATATATATATATATATATATCAGAGGGAATCAATGTGATCAAAAAAAATTGAGGGAATATTTACCGCCTAATTTTATTTTATGTTTACTTTTATTATTTCTCTGTATGTATCGAATGATACATACACCAAAAGGAAATACCAATCAACACTGTTTTCCCCTCTTTTCCACTCTCTCATTGTCTTGAACCCTAACCCGTCAAACAGAGAGCGGCGAAGGTTGAGCGAAATCAGAGGGCAATGGCGAACAGAAGTTGACAACGAACTGGCGAGGGCTGCGACGACGAGAGGAGGCGGCTGTGAAATCTGGGTGCCTGCGACGAGGTTTGATAAATTAGCCTCCTTCTCTTTCCCCCTCTCTCCCTTCCTCATATATCCTTTGGATCCCACGTTTCTGAACATGCGCTCCTCTTCGCGAACACCTTCTACTTCATTCTCTGGATTTCTGAGGTACTTTCACATCTAGGTTTCTCTTAATTTTGTTTGGTTTACTTTCAATCTCTTAAATTGAAGGTGATGATCAATGGTCCTAAAGCAATCCGCTTATTAGTTATACAAGATGGTAGTTAGCTGGCAAAGGTCTTGATGGTTATCTCTCTTTCTATTTTGGACATACAAAGTATCCTTTTTGCAAAAATGGGTTTGACTAATTGTTCTAAAATTTCATTCCATTGATGAACCTAGAAGACCTAGTGTTGAAGATATAAACAATTAAGTCACTCTTATATTAGAATAAAATTGAAATGGATAATTTTTGTTTGTAACATTGAAATTTTCACACCTTCCCCCCCTCCCTTTTTTTTAAAAGGGGATGGGCAATCTGTTCAAATTAAAGTGTTTGTATACTTGTATTGTATCTATGCCAAATTTGGAATTTTTAGAATGTGCAAGGACAACTGGATGAGCAACTCTTTGATTGTGTAATCAAAATATGAAAATTGAAATTGATCTGTTTGTGGCATGCTGTGAATTTCTGCGAAACTAATTGGTGAAAGGTTTGTTTAGATTACAAATAGTTTTGCTAAATTTGTGTTTTAAATTGTAATTTCAAGAAGTAGATCGTAATTTAGCAAATCCTGGTCTCACTCTTCCAAAAGTAGTAGGGTTTTGTCCTTAGCTTACTTTCTCAATCTTTAGATTCTTTCTCAGGACTTTGTCTAATTAGGCCATTTATCGATCTAGAATTGCATAAAAAACTCGTGATTATCATTTTAATGTGCCACGGTTCAGTTTAGGCTGTTTGTTAATTAACTCTCAGTGAATATTTAATGTCTCCTTTTCGGGAAGAACCTAAATTTTGTTGCATTAAATCCAGCCCATAGAGGACTCAATGAAGAATGTAAAATCGCACTTTAGCAGCACATAATATGTCTCATTTTGAACCATGGATGTGAATCACATGATAATTATTCCTATAGATAAATCGGAGGTGAAAAAAAGTAATTATTATGAATAATATATAAAGTTATTAGGTTTCACCCATTTCATTTCTCGTGTTTACAAGTAGATAAAACAATATCACGATTTAAAAGCGTTCTGTCTACACAAGTATTATAGGCTTTTTCAATTGCGAGCTGAGTACAAACCCAATTTTGGGAGGATTTTCAATTTGCAAAAGTGACTCCCAAGTTGGTGTTGAGGGTGATGGGCGTAAAGGGCTTGACATTGTACCATTTAAAGGCGCCGTTTGGTAGAGCTGTAGAAAAGTGATTATAACTTATAGTTTAACAACTTATAACTTATAACTGTGGATATAAGTTGATTTTTGACTTATAAATTAAGCTTCTCCTCTCCCACTCAAAGAATAAGTTGATTTTTGACTTACAAAAAGTTATAAGCTGTATTGTTAAGCTGAACCAAATACATCAAAATAGCTTAAATTAAGCTAAAAACAGAAATAAGCTGGAAATAAGCTCTACCAAACAGAGCCAAAGAGTCATTTACAGGTGTGCTTTTTGTTTCTAGCACTCCTTCCCCTCTATGCTGCTTTCTATGAATTGCTAATTTAAGGTTCTTCCAAATTTTGATGTGCAGAAGTATAGACTTCGGCAGTAGGCCAAGAAACACAACACTGTAGAACAAAACTCTTGACATGCTTAAAGTGTGTACATATAGAGAACCCACTTTGAATATTCATTAGTTTATTTTATTTTATTTCTAATGAGTGCAACTTTTGGTTTTATTCATTAGTTTATTTTATTTTATTTTCTTATGTTATACATTTTATGTATGATTTCATTTGTGGCTAGTGAATTCTATCTAATTTTTTTTTTTTTTTGGTTGAATTAGTTTTTGTTTTTTTTCTTTCCTTGTATCAACACATTTTCTTTTTGCTATGGTGATGCAGACTGTAATGGTTTGGCTTTGGGGAGTAAATTTATGGGTCTTTGCCCTGGCTAGCGTCCCTCATTCTAAAATTTTTGACCTTGATGAAAATCATCTTATTCACATAGAAATATGGAAGGTATCTATATTTACAGCTATGGCAATGACTTGCCAATCATGTAATACTTATAACATAT